GTTGTGTTGTCAGCATATTGCAGGTTGTTAATGATTCTTCCTCCAATCTTCATGCCACATTGTTCTTCATATAGTCCAGCTTCTCAGATTATTTGCTCAGCATATAGATTGAATAAGTATGGTGAAAGGATACAATACTGACATGCTCCCTTCTTCATTTTAAACCATAGAGTGCTCCTTGTTCTATTGGAACATCAGCCTCCTGGTCTGTGTACAGGTTCCTCATGAGTACAATTAAATGTTCTGGAATTCCCATTCTTCTCAATGTTATCCACAGTTTGTCATGATCCACAAAATCAAATGCTTTCGCATAGTCAATAAAACACAGGTAAATATCTTTCTGGTATTCTTTGCTTTGAGCCAAGATCCATCTGACATCAGGTATGATATTCCTTGTCCCACATCCTCTTCTGAATACAGCTTTCACCTCTGGAAGTTCTCTGTCAATACTGCTACAACCGTTTTTGAATTATCTTCTTTAAGATTTTACTTGTATGTGATATTAATGATATTGTTTTATAATTTCCACATTCTGTGGGATCACTTTTCTTTGGAATGGGTACAAATATGGATCTCTTCCAGTCAGTTGGCCAGGTAGCTGTCTTCCAAATCTCTTGGCATAACCTTCAGTGAGGCATCCATTTGTTGAAACATCTCAGTGGGTATTCTGTCAGTTCCTAGAGCCTTGTTCTTCACCAATTCCTTCAGTGCAACTCTGACTTTTTCCTTCAATACCATTGGTTCTTGAACATACACCACCTCCTGAAATGGGTGAAGATCAACCAGTTCTTTTTCGTACATTGACTCTGAGTATTCCTTCCATCTTCTTTTGATGCTTCCTGCATCATACAATAATTTGTCCATAGAATCTTTCAATATTGCAACTCGAGGCTTAAACTTTCTCCTCAGTTCTTCTAGCTTGAGAAATGTCGAGCGTGTTCTTCCCTTTTGGTTTTCTAACTCCAGGTCTCTGCACATTTCATTATAGTAAGTGGCTCTGTCTTCCAGAGCTGCTTTTTGAAATCTTCTGTTCAGCTCTTTGATCTTGTCATTTCTTCCATTTGCTTTAGCTGCTCTTCATTCAAGGGCAAGTTTCAGAATCTCTTCTGACATCCATTTTGGTCTTTCCTTCCTTTCTTGTCTTTTTAATGATGTTTTGCTTTCTTCATGGATTATGTTCTTTATGTCATCCCACAATTCCTCTGGTTTTCGGTCATTGGTGTTCAATGCACCAAATGTGTTCTTTAGATGGTCTCTAAATTCAGGAGGGATATATTCAAGGCCATATTTTGGCTCTTGTGGACTTGTTTTAATTGTTGTCAACTTGAACTTGCATATGAGCAGTTGATGGTATGTTCCACAATCGGCTCCTGGCCTCATTTTGGCTGAAGATAGTGAGCTTTTCAATCGCCTCTTGCTCCCGATGTAGTCAATGTAATTCCTGTGTACTCCATCTAGTGAAGTCCATGTGTATAGCCGCCGTTTATGTTGTTGAAAAAAGGTATTTGCAATGAATAAGTCATTGGTCCCGCAAAATTCTACCTGTGATCTCCAATGTTATTTCTGTCACCAAGGCCAAATTTTCCAACTATTGGTGATTCTTCATTCCCAACTTTTGCATTCCAGTCACCAGTGGTAATTAACACATCTTGATTGCATGTTCGGTCAATTTCAGACTGCATAAGTTGATAAAAATATTCAATTTCCTCATCTTTGGCTTTGGTGGTTGATACATAAGTGTGAATAACAGTAGTATTAATTGGTCTTCTTTGTAGGCATATGGATATTGTCCTAACACTGACTGCATTGTACTTCAGGACAGATCTTGAAACATCCTTTGTGATGATGAATGCCACACCATTCTTCTTCAAATTGTCATGCCCGGCATAGTAGATCATATGGTTGTCTGATTCAAAATGGCCAAAACCAGTCCATTTCAGCTCACTAATGCCTAGGATATCAATCTTTATGCATTCCATTTCATTTTGACAACTTCCAATTTTCCTAAATTCATACTTCGTACATTCCATGTTCCAATTATTAATGGATGTTTGCAGCTGTTCCTCAATTTGAATCATGCCACATCAGTAAAAGGAAGTCTCAAAAGCTTTACCTTATCCATATGAGTAAGGCTGATTTTATTCTGATAATGCAGCTCTTTCCCAGTTCTACTTTGAGAGCTTTCTAAGTGAATTGACTCATCTTCCTCCTCTGTATTGCACAATGTTTCTGGACTATTCATAATGTGTGCATTAATGTATCAGACAGTGCTTCTCTGCTATTCATAAGGTTTTCCCTGGCCAATTCTCTGAGAAATGGATAGCCTCTTCCTTCTTCCTGGTCTGTCTGTCTATAAGCTGCATTGAAACCTGTGCACCATGTTCAATCTTCCTGGCGTTTGAAACAACAGTGGCACACCCTCAAGCCTCACAGCAACATGCAAGCCATCACAATACAACAAATTGACAGACAAGTTTGTCTCTCTTAGCTGTTTGAAACCTCTCCGCCCTCCCCTTACCTAGATCTCTGCACTGCTCACTCTGTCGTCCCTCTGGCTTTTCTTTCCCCTGCTTTCCTGCCTCTTGGGTATGGGGCCTCGGTTCCTCCCCTTACCTGGATCCCTACCACTGAAGTCATCTCTAACTTTACTAATTTTCTATCTGTTCTGGCAATTATATAGAGAGGAGTATTAAAGTCTCCAACTATAATTATTGATTTGTGTATTTATCCTATCAGTAGTAGTGTTTGCTTTATGTGTTTTGAAATTCTGTCATTAGAAAAAATTTTTATGCCAAGTTCACTCTCCATCCTTCTTCAACCTGAACTTTACCCCAGGAATCTGAACCTTCTGTTTTCACATTGGTGTTGGCCAACACCAACTCCACATTGGAGAATGGAAAACTTTGGGTACTTAAGGTTAACTCCCTCCCTGCTGAGTTGCAAGTTGGCAGGAGGTTCCTCTGTGAAAGTCCTAGTTCTTTCAGCGGACTGTCTCCAACAGCAATGGGTTTCACTGAACTCTGGTAAGCCCTCCTCCCCTAGGTCAGGGTGATAATGGCTCTCTGATTAGCCCTGGGTGCTTCAGCATCACTTTTTGTTTTCCGGTAACTCTGTCCACACCTTTGTAAATCACCTTTTCATTTAATACCCTTCAAACACCCCTCTAGAGTACACTATCTGTTAACTGCCAAGGAAATCGATAATGCATTATGTGAGTACCACTCTTGTACTAGCTTTAAATTATTTATTTATGTTGTTGTTGTTATTTGCAGACCAGTTGCACCCAACTCACAACGACCCCTCCTTGGGTTTCTGAGGCACTACCACTATGGAAGTAGATTGCTCAATCTTCCTTCTGAGGAGTGGCTGGTGGGTTTGAACCGCCAGCCTTCGGGCAGAAAATGTGCTGTATGTGGTTTAAACAAATAGTTATGATAGGTTCTCTGTGCAGCGATGGAATACTGGGCAGATTATTGTAGAGCAGCCAGTATTCAAATTACAGTAAGATTTCTGAATTGAAAATTACGACGGTTTTCTTAAACCTCAAGACAGTAATACAATGAAATATGTTATATATGACTGAAGACTGTAAGTCTTCCAAGTAGCTTTTAAAGAACACTTAAATGGAAAATTGTTGCGAATAGGCTATAACTTTACAAAAGCGTGCTAACCTGTCCAGAAATGTTACAAACAAACGAGAAAAAAAGTTTTTATACCGAAAGACGAAGCACCTTACTCAGCGTTTTCCGACACAGGGCTAGTCTCATTTGTGCACTCGTCTGGTCCGCTAATCCATGAACAGAAGACCAAACTCAATCTCACTGCCATCCAGTCTATTCTGCCTCATCATGGCCCCATAGGATAGAGTAGAACTGCCCCCACAGAGTTTCCAAAGCTGTAAATCTTTTTACGGAAGCAACTGTCACATCTTTCTCCCATGGAGGCTCGTGGGTTCAAGTCTCTGCTGAGCGCTTTAATCATTGCTCCACCAGCGTCCTACCGAAAACACTTTCTACAAAACAGTTTGAGGAACATAGGCAGGAAAAAGGGGCGTAGTGTTGACCGGGGATGTGAGCCAGACAACTGCTCCTGGCTCACTTCAGCTAAGTCCCTCTACTTAGCTCCGCCCCAGGACGTCCCTCTATCGCCAGCGCCCCCTTCCGCGGTCTCGGAATCAGTTTCGTTTTAAAAGAATATGTATATCTCTGTAGGTGGGCCCAGGCTACAGGTTTCTCGCGAGAACTCGCGATGCGCCGGCCATGCTCCTCGGAGTTCTCGCGAGGGGCCCGTCCCCGGAGTATGAGCTAAGCAGTAGCTCCACCCTCTCTGAGCGGGCGCGCAGTGTGGCGGGAATTTTGCTTGTTACTTTTTTGGACCCCCCACTGGTTCTGGAACTTTGGTCTAGACCATTGGGGGCGGGTCCTGGGAACTGGAGAAGTAGTCAGGTAAGATGTGTCGGGTGGATAGCGGGTTCTGGGGGGCCAGCCGCTGTCTTGTGCGAGGTCACAGCGCCTCCCACCTCTCGTTCCGCGGCCCTGGCGGCACTCGTCCCTGAGTCTCGGGAGGCGTGGGGACCAGCCGCCGGCACTGTCCTTCAGATCCCGCAGAGCCTGCGTGGGAACTTTCTCCGCCGTGCGGGCAGACTAGCTAGCTCAGTGCGGTTTAGTAAGGTAGCCGAGCTTGGTTCCGGGTTGAACCTGGCTCTGACCTGCAACAATTTCCATCCAACCTCTTTACACTGCCCTGGCTGTTCGACTTAGAGGACAGATTTTAAGTCGCTGCCAGAGCCAAACGAGAGTTCATTTTGTCTACGATATGACAGCCTTAATTTCGGGTAAAAGGATCGGTGAGGATTTGGCTTCTCGTTGTGTTTTGTTTCCTTTTGTGCGGGGGGCGGGGAGAGGGCTGGGGCCATTTTCCCAGTTGCTTTTTAGCATTTCTACTTCTTTGGGAACTTTGTAAAGTTGTTGTAACCCCCAATCTCTCGACCTGTCCCATTTCCAGCAATGTCGTCAAGCGTTATTTTAAATCCTTTATGGTAATTACAATAAACCCCCAACATTTCAGGACATGAAGTAAACAATGGATAACTGTTCCCCTGCCTCGACGTTCTTGACTGACAGCTTGGAGTTGGAACTGAGGACAGAATGGTGCAAACCCCCTTGCTTTTCTTGTGCTTTTGACGATAGAGGAGGAGGAAGAAGTTTTTCTGGAGAGTCCTACCTTTCCAGCGGAGCCCTTAAGCGGTAGATAAAAAATGGAACTTTTGATTTTTCCCTGATCAGATTATTCATTAAATTGTTAGGGTTGCTATTTAAGTATGATTTCAGTGAATTAAACCTTGTTTTTCACAAAGTGATGTTTTGTAATTGGCTAACTGTATTGCACGGGTGCAACCTATTAGGTCTCTTGTTGATTTCCTAGTTAAAGGATACCCCAAAAGTGTTTTGGGTATTGCATACTTCTTACTTAGTTCTCTTACCTCACTGCTACCTTGGTTTTTGGATAAGGAGTTGTGTGTTAATTTCCCATTTACTTAAAGTGAATTCTGAACTAGCTGGACTTTTTGAAATTGTTTTCTTCTAAATAATGAAATAATATTCTAGAGCAACTAAGACATACACTTTTTTCTGTCGCTCCATTTCCTTCCAACTCTTACATACCTATATAAACTTTTAAAAAAACTTTCCTAATGAACCGCACTAAATTGTAAATGCACAGGAATATTATTCTTCAGAGTTGATGCATTGGAAGATACGAACATATTGCAATAAAACTGATTTTCTTGAAATATTTTGGTAATACTTATTGACCCCTTCTTGGGTTTCTGAGGTGGTATCTCTACAGAAGTAGATTGCCCAACCTGCCTTCCGAGGAGTGGCTGGTGGGTTTGAACCACCAGCCTTCTGGTTAGTAGTCAAGTGCCTTAGGCACTACGCTACCAGAGCTCCTAAAGAGATTATCCAATTTTATTATGCTATTCACCAAATATTCAGAATAACTTTCAGCCTTTTTTTTTTTAAAAAAAAAAAAAAAGCAAATGCCCTTTCAGAGGATGAAATTTTGCAACAACTGAAGACAAGCAAAAGTATGTTCCACAAGGTTTTGTTTTGATTGTATGTGTACATTTTTGTTCTAAATTACATGAGTCTGACTGCATCTTTAATGTAGTCTAGGTACAGTAGTAATCCTGGATATGTAGGTACCAAGGCATTTCTTGATTTATAACATCATTTTTGGTATGCCATGTATGATATGGATTCATATAATATTGAGAACGAACTCATACAGTATAATACAAACATACTTTTTATGAGATTAAATTATAATTTCTATTTCAGGCTAATTTTGAATCTTGATCCTTTACCAACCAATTTTGAAGAGGATACCATGGAAATATTTGGCATTCAATGGGTTACTGAAACTGCATTAGTTAATTCATCTAGAGAGCTTTTTCATTTATTGAGGTAAGAGAGCTTTTTCATTTATTGAGGTATGTTTATTTTTGTTTGCTGTTTTCCTAGCCACCTCCCACTGTAGATGTTGTTCCATTTTCTAAGTTATGTTGCTGGGATCCAGCTGTGTAACTTAGAAGAAAAAGGAACAACATCTACACTTGTAGGTGGCTTGTTTGGTATGTGCTCAGTAAATACTAAGTAGAATTGTATTTGTTGCATACTTGATTGTTGTTGTTATGTGCTGTCGAGTAAGACTGGACTCATAGCGACCCCTCCTTGGGTTTCCGAGGCTGTATCACTAGGGAAGTAGATTGCCCACCCTTCCTTCCGAGGAGTGGCTGGTAGGTTTGAACTGGCCAGCCTTCTGGTTAGCAGTCAATCGCCTTAGGCTTTGTGCTACTAGAGCTCCTGCATACTTGATTAGTGACCAGTGAAAGCAATCATACAACGGTGATTGATGGAGTAATGGTTTTATTTAGTTACTATTTAGTGATTTTCAAAATCTTTATGCCCTGTCTGTGATACCATGTATTGAAGACAAATATTTAGGGCTTTGAACTATAGTATAATTTTTGAAAAACATTAAAATACTTTTGCTATTTAATAGCCACAATCTTTATACATTCTTTAGAGAATGAGCTGAGATTTTCCAGATATATATTTCAGACTATGTAATAGAAACATGATTCATTTTCTATTTGAAGAGCATGTAAAAAATGTAATGAAAATTTTCAGACACGCAAGAGTAGAGAAAATAGTGTGATGCACTCCTGCATACCCATCCCTCTGTTACAATAAATTTTTATCAAGGTTTTATCATATTTTCATCTATCCCGTTTCCTCTTTTGGCTTAACTATTTTAAAGCAAATTCCAAGCATATCATCTTACCCTTAAATATTTCAACATGCATCTCTTAAAAATTTGAACTTTTTAAAAATGTAAATACTGTGCCATTATCACAATTAATAAAATTAATTCTTTCATTTGAAACCTAGTACATGTTTAGATTTTAGATGACATTTTGATGTAGAGTCATTTGTTGAAGACAAATTTTTATGCAAAACCACATTAAAAATTATATGGTGATTTAAATGAAAATTGAGAGATGGAAAGTTTTCTCTCATCCCTGTCCAATGAAACTTGTGAAGAGATATTACTGTGTTTCTGTCATGTTGCACCTACTATGCTATTTGGAGAACAGGCTAATATATACTGCAGAATGAGTGAGTATTTATCCAAGACTAAGACTTGAATATGGGTCCATCTTCAAAGCATTGAAAAGCAACTAGGAAGAATGGCAAGAGAAGATAGCTTTCAGAAATTAAGCTGGAACATCATCTATGTAGCTTTGGCTGATAACTCTAGTCCACATTATTCTATTCCTTTTTTTTCTAAATTACGGTATCATACAATTTAACATTTCATTTTGATTGCTAACCTAGGGTGTGTTATATAAATATTTTAAACTTGAAGATAAAAACAGTATCTCATTGATAGTAAAATCTAGGGTGTTTAAATATTATTTCTAAGCTATATGCAGCTTTTAGTACATAGTTTTAGAATGTGAAACAAAGACACATTTTATCTTCTCTCAAAGTTTTCACTGCTTTTGACCTTCTAATAAACATTCACTAAATATTAAATATCATCCACAAATGACAGGCATCAAAGCTATATAATAGAGTTGGGAACATTAACCATGTAATAGTTACATGCTCTAAGCTTATGGTAAATTGACTCTTACCTTACTTTTTTGAATTAGGCAACGACTGTACAACTTGGAAATCTTATTACAAGCCAACTGTGATTTTGGTAAGTTTAAAGTGTGCTTAATTGCAAAAAGGAATGCTGCTCTCTTATGGTGAATTGTATACAGGTCCATGATACCTTAATGGGGATCTCATGAATAACATAGGAGAAGTGTTAGGTGAGAAGGTTAGTTAGGATATAGTGCATTTAGGAATCAGAAAAAGTATGACATTTGAAGTTTGTTGTAGCTGAGATTTATATTTTTTCAAATTTTAGGTCTTTAATCTAGACTTCTGAAGTAAATTAGTACTTACTTTGGGGATGGAGAGAGTGGGATGGGGAATTTATAAGAGAAATAAAAAGTATTAGACCTCATCCTGTCTTGATCTTTTTTTCCTTATTTTTTATTGGATTACTAATGGATTTTTGGGGTATTGATATGTTTAAGGTAGTGAAGAGAATTGAAGGACAGTATGTGTTAGTGCATGCTAGCTCCTTTTCTTTTTTTGCAGTTTTGGTATGGGGTGGTATTTTAAATCATGGCACTTGATACCTGTGGGTCTCACACCTGTTAATAGTTCCCACCTCATTGAGTTCTTGCAGAGAATCAAATGGCATAGTGCATGTTAAGTGCTTAGTCCAGTGTCTGTGATTGGTAATGTCCAGGAGCACACTTTTGGTCAGTTAGGGTTATTAACTTATTGAAGCAAGTTATAAACATCAAGAAAACAGGTGGGGTCTTTCAGAGAAGGAAGGGAGGGACTTGTTATGGGGTTTGGGTTATGCTGGCTAATTTTGGAGAGGGTTTAAAGAGGCTAGGACTTTATTCTGAATTGGATGTTATTAGGAGCAGGAGCAATTTGATGATTTGGTATGTTAATTTTTTTCTAGGAAGTAAGATGAACAAAGGGATGGTAGGGTTCTCATTAGTAAAGAAACAATAGTCACAGTAGCTGAAAGGGGAATGCTTGCTTTTTTGTGTGATGCATAATGCCTTGTTTCTGTGTTCAGATAGAATAGCAGAGAAGCCTGTTTTTCTCATTTCCCATAGTCACAGAGTGGCCCTGTCTGATAATTTTTGATATTTTATGAAAATTGTTTATTTTCGGCAGGGAACACCATGACCTAGCTGTTGGCTTTCTTCTGTCAGAACTGTGTTTGCTCTGTTTTCAGTATGTGCTCAGAAAATGTTAAATGTTATGATTTCATCATCACCCAGTGAGTCGCTGCTTTGTGCCAGACACTTTGTAAGGTACCTAGGAATCAAAGGGAAGATAGGCTGCTGAAGAGTTTGCAGTTGAGTGAGACAAATGGACATGCAAGCATAGTACAGCATGCTGAATGGCAAAGTGCAGTGCTCGAGGCTGCTGTGGGACCTAGAGGTGGTTTTATCTTTCTGCATGCCTGTCTCTAAGTGATGCCAGTTCTGAGTCTTCAAGGATAGGGAGGAGTTAACGAGGCAAATTTGTGACAGGAATAGTTCCAGGTAGAAACAATCGTCTGGGCAAAGATACTGGGGTGTATAAAAAATGAAAATCCAAGGAGCAGGTAGTAAGTAGTAAGTATGTATGGTTGGGTGAGTGTGTATGTGTGAGAGTGATGGATTTGGAAGGGATGAAATCACTATTGCTTTGTAAATCAAGCCAAAGAGTTTGAATTTGATCTTGAAAGCCTTGTGGAAACTTCTAAAAGATTAAAGATGAAACAGCAAAAAATATCTTTACTATTTAGAGAGGTTGGAAGCTCTGGTGGCATGGTGCCTAAGGCATTTGACTGCTAACCAGAAGGCTGGTGGTTCAAACCCACCAGCCACTCCTCAGAAAGAAGATGGGGCAATCTACTTCCATAGAGGTACTGCCTCAGAAACCCAAGGAGGGGTCACTATGAGTTGGGACCTATTCAATGGCAGTGAGTTTAGTTTTTTTTTTTTTTTGTTTGTTATAGAGAGGTTGGAGTAAATTAGGTTCAGGAAGGCACGTGTAATGGGAAGATTATTCCTTGCAAAGCACTTACTGGCCTACAACCACTACAGTGAACTATTTGTTAAAATGGTTCTTTATTACACTGAAATTTTGGCTGTTTTTGTTGCTTAAAAAAGCTTTTAATGACAGATTTGTTGGACAGCTTAGCAGTATGTGGGGTTATGTGTTGCCAGTATATATGGTTCTTGTTCTATTCTTTAAGCTTCCAAAATTACTTTCCAGTTATGGCAGAATAACATATATGCATATTTTGCTGGTGTCTGTTCTTAATTATAGCTGTTGGTATTACCCTTTCTCAGGGTTGATGTTGGGAGCAGATTGTACTTAATTTTCTTTATATTACATCTTGAGAAAATGGAAAAGAACATTTCATACTTTAACTATCACAGGAAGGTTGCATATGTATTAGTTGTTATGCAAATAGTGCAAATGTTTAGTGTGTGTAGATCTTTTTGTTCATTAATTTTTATTTTTTCCATACTAATACATGTATTAAGAAATCAAACCTACTTGCATGGCCTGTAAACAAAGTGACTGCTCTCTCAAAGCTATGACTTTCAACTCTTTTAACTGTTACCTGTTTAACTTTTTTTTACCTAATTTTAACTGTTACCTATCTTTGACTTCACCATTTTATTTAATGATTCCATTTTAACTCCACTGTTGGCTTCTATCCCACACTGTTATTGTTAAGGGGCTGTAGACTTGATTCTGACACAGCAATCCCATGTGATGGAGTGGAACTGCCCCATAGGGTTTCCTAGGCTGTAATCTTTAAGGAGCTCTGGTAGCATAGTGGCTAAAGCACTTGACTGCTAACCAGAAGGCTGGCAGTTCAAACCCACCAGCCACTCCTC